TGATAGAGTGGCTTTGGTGGGCACTTGTTAACCAGCCAGGGTCAATCCACTACACAGCTGTAAAGTTCAAATCAATGTCAGAATTGATCTGTTGAACTGATTGAACTGATCAGTCCCTTTATGCTATTGGTGCTGCCTGGCAGGAGATTTATACCTGCTTGACCTAACCATCTACTGTTCTTCACTATTCAGGCTCTTGCCCTATAGTATCATTTCAGTAGATTTAGCTGTGCTGCTTGGTTCTCGGACATATCTGCCCCACAGCATTAGCAAGTTCCTCTCTTAGTGTGGGCTAGATTATATTTATGGAAACAAAACCATCATCTCTCAGAAGTGAGATCTAAGGACATGCTTGCATTCTCTGAGCAGCACAGAATTAATCAACAGCAATTGCCAACTTGCTGCTCCCGTGAGGAAATGATCAGTAATGTGCTTCCTGGTACTTTTTTTTTTTTTCCTTTTTTTACCACCTCTAAAATCACAGTGGAAAAATCAATTTTTTCAAAGCACAAACCACCAGTAAGTGACTGCATGCATAAAGACCTAGAGATCAAACGATAACAGCAGCTGCCCACTTTTAGAAGGGAAGTGAAAAGTTAACTATCTGCTGCACTATGAATTCAGAGAGCTATGTTAGCTGTGTACAGCAAAGGGTTCTGTGTCAGCAACCACTCTCCCTGTCATCTGCTTGGCACAACACCCCAGTGTGTGCTTCCTTTCCCTCCTAATCCACACAGAAATGCATGGGTATTTTCAGCTTTCTTAAGGAACCAAGGTACAACTCTTCTGCAGTATGAATTAAGTGCCCAAAACATTTAAAGTTTATTAAAAACAAAATGTTTTAAACATGTGCTTGATTATCTCACTAATCAACATCCGACCAGAGAGAGGATCTGTGATTAGGACACAACTTCCTTCCTACACCAGCATGCACAAGTGGCACCTCCGTGGTAACTGTTTAGGAGCAGTAATTTCTGCTGTGCAGAAGACATGGAAGCAGATTTTCCTCCTTGCAGAACAACCTCCTGTGGCAGTTTTTCTCTGGGTAGCCTCAGGTCATTGGTGTGGTTAGCAGTTACAGCCTACACTATGGCATAGAAGTAAAATGAGACAAATCATTGTCTCAATGAAGTGGTCAGACAACACCTCCCGTTCATCTTTACAATTTGTAAAATCACAGTCCATGTGCTGAAAAGCACTCGCTGGCCATCTCTGATCTGTATCCAGCCAAGGTAGCAACTGAATACTATGCAGACAAAAGTTCAAATTTCACTCTTCCATTTCATCATTTGTGGTTTTAGGTGGGAGCCAGGATCCCAGATGCCCTAACATTTCCTACTAAGCAACCAATTGCATCATTAGCTATGCAAGTACCTTTTAAACTGTCTTTTAACTCTTAGACCATGAAGCTTACTGCAAGAGAGATGGGACTGGGACATTCCATGGTGTGGGTCTCTTGTAAAAATAGTCATATAAAGAAAGTACAACTTTAAAAAGAAATCAGGTCAATGAATTCAACGTTCTCAGGTTAAAATGTAAATGCTTGGGAGTACAGATTGATGACAGGCTTTGAGAAACTACTTTGGTAGTTATTTCAATGAGACGCGAAACAGAGTGAGTGACTGAGTAAACAAGAAAAAAATATTACCGCAATGGGTATGGTCTGACTACAGGATCAAAACCATAGAAATTGCATACTTAATTGCATACTTAAGAAATTGCATACTTAATTCTGCTTGTATCTTTACCTTGTGTTTGCAGGATTTCTGAAATGGAAATTCACTTGTCCTCTACAGCCTAATGTAAATGAGTAATACACTGACAGACAATTCAGCAGAACTTTCTTGCAGTAGACCATTGACTTCAGAAAACAATAGTTATTTGGAAATATTTTGCAATATTTTGTCTTATTTGTACTGAAAAAAAATTTAGATCCACTTTAGCAAGAGTCTGATTTTAAGATTTTCAGTGTAGCTGTTGTGTTAGGCTTGGTCTCATTTTACCAAAATGTGTAAATATTGCAGTAACATGGACTTGGTTTCATGGATTCATTGACCTAGATGGGATCAAGAAATATTGTACTAGGTAATTCTGAAATATAGATCTTCACTGGGCTGGGAATACACAGGAACGAGACCACTTTCCCTCTCAGAAAGGACATTTACAATGAGAGCAATCTTCTTGGAGAAAAGAAAATGTCTGGGTGATGTACAGCTGTATGCAAATCATTGCTCAGGTAGTGCAAAATAAGGGACTGTGACTTGTGTTATGCATTCGTTCTTGGGTTTTCAGGAACAAACAGGTATTTTCTGCTCTATAAAACAATTTCTTGTGGGCAGAGAAAGCAGATAAGTGAGATTACAGCCTGGCATATTCATTCAATTGGCCCTTGACAGTACAGGGTTTGTATCATTCTGTTAATCACTACAGAGGTTCATTGCTTCTGGTATAACCTTGGGATATGCTTTCACTGGAAATGATTCTTAAACCTCTTTAACATAAGCAGCCGAAGTGTTATCTGTAGGAAACAGACCAGATGCAGCATGATCAGATAAAAGTTGTTTCTTAAAGTAAAAACCCATGATTTCAATAAAACAGATTTCTCCTTCAGAATGCCTTTAGCTATCCCAGAAACATTTTAATGAAAAATTGAAATGTGTTAATTGGAAAAACCCGGTCTTATGTCTCATGGGAGTTGTTGTTTCTTGTGAATTCCAATCCTTTTCTTGTTTAAGCTCCTATGAGACCTTAGACCATGGAATGACTTTACTCACTGTTTGCTTTCTCTGTCCAAAGCTGGGAAACCTAGTCTGATTGATAAGCTCAGACTGCAAAAGAGAATAAAACATAAACAACCATATAATAACTCAGCTGTGCATTTTGGTGCATTTTATAAACTGGTATTTTTGCTATAACAATTTCCATCAAAAATACGATAATTTTTTTGTTTGAAACTTTGGTTTATCAACATTTTCTCCAAGAGAATAAAATATCTTTAACCAGTTATTCTGAAGTCGATGATTATTAGTGGAAGGATACACTTACTGCTCTTTTTGCTTCCTTCTGGAAGTCAGGCCAGCTACAAGCTAGGCTTTTTTTAAGTGATTCTGCAGTGAAGTAGAGGAGCGCTCTGACTGTGCTCCCTTTTCAAAAATTCCGTGTTTAGTCTGACAAGAAATCACCTCTGAATCTTGACCATGACCAGCAAACTGTTTCCCATCCATTTTTTTTACTTTCCCTTCATTTTCAAATTAAATAGCAAGTGCGTTGGTGGAAGAAAACTGATGGATTGTGATGTCTTACAAATGCAATCATATCTTGGGCTAGAGGTGAGACCTATGCACTGATTATGCAGGCCCTCTCCTTCCCAAGTGCTCTCTTTACAACCACTACCCATTTAGCCTCCTGAGCTCCATCTGCTCCTGTGGGGAAAAAACCCTATAGAAGGCCTTTAGGAGGGCTCTGTCTTCTCTAAAATGTTTGACAGAGGTGATTGAGTAGGTACAACTTTGATGGATGACAGTCAATGTGGGATGGATATCAATCACTGGCACCTCATAATGTGTATTATGAGGAGGGCTGCACACAAGAGGATAATGGAATCAGGTGGAAGGGAGGTTGAAAATGGGAACAAAAAAGATCAAAGGGGAAGCAAGGGAGTGATGCTACAAAAATGTATGCTGGAAAAAAATTATGAAGACAACAGGAGATGGTAATAAGACAAATCTAGAAAAGCTGAACAAAGAAAGGGGAAGAAATAGGGAGAACAAAAAACTAAATACAGAACTACCAAAACCAGACAGGGTTTTGACATGTTTGACAGGGAGTGAAAAGCCAGATGCAAACAAAAAGAAGGGAAGCTTCATAGAATTAATGAAAAAAATATATATTGACAATGTAGGATGGTCATGTTAAAAAAATTAAGTAGGTAACATAAACAACTTGAATGTAAATAGATAGTTTACATTGTATAGTCCAAAGTAACGATGAAGAGATCAGAACCTCAGCTGAGGCCAGATTTTTGAGTCACATTAGACTGATCTAAATTTAACTGAAGGAACATGAAAGCAGGATGGAACAGCATGTAGGGAGCATACTGCCTTTGTTTTAGACTCAAAAAAGGCAACCTACTGAGTCATTCTAGAAGAAACATGTGGATTCTGGAATAACTCAGACAATGGTTTTCTTTTCCTTATCTTTAAATATTTTCTTTCCTTAATTAGTGGTAGCAGAAAACTAACATGTGGTGAGACTTGAGAAACCACAATAACCATATTAGCTAAATGAGAGTAGGTTTCCTTTCTGAGCTCTAACATATGAACAAAACCTAGCTACATGTGAGGGCTTCATTTGCATAATATGCAGATTATCAAATAGTTGTGTTAAAGAGAAAAAACTCCTTCCACTTGCCACAGTGTGAAGGTGAAGCACAAAGCATCTATAAAGAAGGCTGGCTGGACTTCGTAACTGGATTAAAAGAAAATGTGTTGAGAAGGTAAGTGTGACTAGTTACCTTGTATTAATTTTGGCATTCACCAAATGGTGAATTTTTCGTCTTCTGAAAGACCATTATTCATGATGGATATTGAATATATTGCAGAGTAAAATCACAAGATACATTTAAATTAGAAAACACCTGAATATGGAACAAGATGAGCAATAGTTTTTGTAATGGATAAGCTAAAACTCTGATTTATCTTTTAATTAGCTATTAAAGTTCTGATTTATATTTTGATGACTTCCATTCCATGAAATGTTGTTGATAATATTCTGCTGCTTTGCAGACTAATCTGTTGGCATTCCAAAAGTAGGTTGTTGTCTGAGAGAGATGTTGCAAGCTGTTACTAGCAGTAGAAGTGCTTGTTTGAATATGGATTAAAGTCATCAGGGACTTGATGATTTGAAGTGACATATGTTTTTGAAATAGAAAGAGATTTTTCTACTTCTATTACTCATTTGCTGGTTACATGACTGCCATGGCTTAGGTTTGTCTTTGTGTAATGACGTTTGCTTTGCAAGACATAGATCCATCTCTTCACTCCCAAAGTTATGAGAAAGAAGCACTTAAAGGGTCCTTAAGGTTCATTCACTGGGTATGGTCAGCGGAAAGCAGCACCATACTTAAGCTTCTAGGGAGCCACTGCTATTGTGATATGCTCAATTTTGAAAAGAAGATGAGTGAGCAGAACATCTATCAACCTGCATTTCTTTAGGTCCAGTATTCTATTAATTTAATCATATCTTACAATCTTACAAGGTTGTCTGTATTTATGACATTCACTGTCTCTAATAGGATCACAAACACAATTTCTAAAATAAATAAGGAGTTTGAAGGGGGTTTTTTGCTAGTTTTTTTTTTCTTTTCTTCCCCCCCTCTCAATGCAAACATCTAAGTCGCCACCAGAAACCAAGGTCTGGGAAAGAACTATTTATAGGTTTTAAAATTCAGGAATCATAAAATGAAATATTTTCATATCTAGTTAAAATTAACTTTGACAGCAGACCTGAGCAACATGCACACGAACAGCAAATGTTTGTGCCAAACACGCAAATACGATTGCATTTTTACTTCACCTGGGCATTTACATTTTGTGTTAGCAGTTCAGGCCAAAAATCTGGATTATGTGCACCTTGATATATAACAGATTATTTTTTTTTCTTCTAAAACAGGTATGAATCAATTTGGTAATTATTACTTTTCTCAGTTTCACAGTTTTACTCTAAGCGATCTTGTTGATTTAAATGATTAATGTTGAAACTACTCATCTGCATAACATTTAGTCCACCCTTTGCAAAAACAGGTCATTATTGCGGATGTGTTCTGAGCACAGTGGCAATTAACACCCTACTTTTTATGATTCTAATTCTATCTTGATTATTTTAAAAATAATATCATTACATAGGTAGCCTAATTAAAAAATTAATAAAATATTCGCCTCCCGCTTGCACGTTTTCAACATGGAAACATTTTCTTTTATGTAAAAATGCAGGTTATTCTTATTACTTGTCAGAAGGGAGTGGTGATTATTTCAGTTTAACTCTGTACCTTTAAATAATGCTGTTATTTCTTGTTTTTCAAATTAAAGTGTTGAGGCTGATGGTAAATGTGCCTGAGTCAGCCACAATAGAATGTAACAGAATCATATATCCTCTTTCACCTGACCTACAGACAATTCTTTTTCTGGTAAGTACTAAAATAAAATAGGTAATATATAATGCACGTACGTGTGATGAATGTAGTAAAGTGAACATGTAAGTAGGATTGTACTTACAAAGGTGGACTATTCTTAAACATACTTGTTGACTGAATTTTTTTTCTCATAGAAAAATTTCTTTTTTGTTGTGCCTGTCTTTATTCATTGTATTTTGCTTGTATAATTCAAATAATATTTTAAATAATTCTTAAGACTGTGGTTTAGTCTTACCTTTGAGTACTCGCATGTTGCTTTCAAAATAAAAAGAAATGTGATAATGTGGGTGAAGTGGAAAAAAAGTAAGCTAAAAATGCAAGGCTTATATATTTAATATTAAGAACATAAGTGTTTTTGAGGGCACATGAATAGACATTTGCCCATATGTAGTACATAAGTGATGTTAGAACACACACAACACCTTACATACATTTTTTATATTTACCTAAGACATTAAGGCTAAATAAAGACATAAATGTGCAGATTATAAATTATAAAGGTGCCTACTGAGTGTTAGAAAGATATAAGTTGAAAAGAAAATTGTGTTTATAAGAATTCGGATTCAACTTTCTCAGCAGCCAGTGCATCTTCTTAATAACTTCAGTGGATGCCATTTCAAATTCAAAAAAGGAAGTCAGCTCGATAGATTTAAATCAAGTCTGAATCTGATCTCTGCAATTCTGATTTCAGTTTGAGTCCTTTGCTACTACCCTCATACCAGCCATCCTCAGGAATATTTTGCTGGACAGTGGAAGTAATTTTCTGAATAAATGTGTGTCTGGTGGTGCCTTTATGAATTCCTGTAGAGTCAGGGAGACTATGCAGCTCTCCTGTAATGAATAGTTGCTGTTCCCTATAGGGTCTCTGCTGAGCTCTTCTGAGAACTAAACAACCTTTTCTTGGTTCTAATCTGAAAAGATCTCCCTTCTTAGCCCTCCTTGTAGGCTGCAGAAAATACCTGTGCTCACTTTCTTCTAAATGCCTTCAACCAGTAATCTTCCTTCTATACGTTATCCTAATGCGTGGGAGTGACTGTCTAAGTGGAATGAAAAATGACTTTTACAGAGAAGATATGCTGTCAGGCTCTCTTTGTATATTTTAACCATGTAGGTCTCAAAAAACATGAATGGCAGATAACTAGAATGGTGTTTTTCTTGCAACAATAAAATAACAGTTTCTAAAATAATAACCTAGACAGGTACCCTTTTAGTGCTGTCTAACTGAAGAGTTACTGCAGTTGCAGCTAAGTGCAAGGTCAGTGTCTGGCTGGATGAGATCAGAGAGTGTAAAGCAGCAGATGGTGACTAGAGTCGTGCAGAGATGGGCTAGAGGACCACAGCCCCAGGTGAACTGCACAACTTAACCTGTTTGCCTTTTACATCTCTGTAAGTCTGAGAGACACCTTAAGGTGTTTAAAATTTGTTTCAGAAGGTGTTCAAGTACTTTTAGGCTGTCATAATTCCTGCAGCTTCTAAAAATCAGTTTCCAAAAGTCAGTAGAGGAAGCTGGAGAGGTGGTTGAAGATTTATCTAAAGGGCAGGAAATTCAGAGAAGCTGTGATGCCTTAGCAACATCGTGTAGTATATGTAGTATATCTGCAGCCCTCTGTTGTAAGCCAGCATCCCCACATGAGTCATTCTCATTATGTTTTTGGGGAGTGTTCTGTCCTTTCCCTCCTGCAACTTCCCATTTATATCTGGACTTCATCTGTCCCGTTTTCACAGATTATCTGTCTCTCTCTCTCTTTCAAAATTAGGTAATTCCCAAACAGGAAAGTTTTACTTGTCTAGACTTAAAGTTGACACATGCGCTCTTACTAATTAGTAGCACAGCTTAGCAAAAAGCAGACGAACTCTAGACAAAACTGCCATTTACAACCTTAGCATGGGACCTCATGTCATCCAGTCCTTGAAATTACTTCATTGCTGATAGGTGCAGTTCTCACAGAGCAGCTGATGGAAAAAACAGAAGGACTGAACTCATGCAGGGGAATGCTGAGGAATTAAATCTCCTGCCCATGGGTTCCTGTATGAGGTCGAACAAGTCATTTAAGCCCACCTTTGCACATGTGGCCACCAATGGCATGTTCCCCATTTTATTTTTCTGTGACTTCAGAGTCTGATCTGTTTTGCAGAAGTTTGAGCTTGCATGCAACCAGTCAATGAATTTAATTCTTAACACAACTGAAGGCCTTTGTAATTCTAAGCGCTCTTAAAAGTGATGTTGAAAGGGGTAGGTGTCTCAAACTGAACATCTCAAGTAGATATTTATATTCTAATGACTCAGTGCTCAGGTTCTTTCCTTGTAAATAAATGTAGTAATACCTCCTCACCACAAGGTGTTGTGTAAATTAATTAACATTTGTAAAATAGTTAGGCATCACAGTGATAACAGAGAAAAGAAATTATTTTCATAGAGTGCAGTCTACAACACTGCACACTGAACACTGCACTCTAAATCTGTGCACCAAACAAAGACAAAACACTAGTGCTCAGTCTGTCCATTGTGTACTATCTTCTACACTATAGGAAGATATCGTTCTGGCACTCTTCACTTACCTCACTAGTGTAATAAAAAAGAGCAAATAATGTGATATTAAAAGTGCTGAGATGCACTGATAAAATGCCAGAGTGGAAAGGAAAGAGTCAGTCTCATATTACTGTTATGAAGCATACTAAGGAAGTCCTGTTTATTTGTTCCATGTTCCATACACTGATTGCCATTGTCACACAGAATTTCTGAATGTAAAATTTAATTTAATTTGTTGTGGTGCAAATTCAATGTGAAGTAAGAGTCACATATTCTCATATATCATTTATTAGCCTATGAATAAACATTCAGTGTATAAGATTGTGCTCTTAAAGGTACTGATGCAAACAATCTATTTTCTAAAACTGTACATTCTGCTGTGGAGATGTGTTATTTGCCGAGATGCTCTTGTGAGTTGCTGATATAGTTGAAGTGATGAGATTCTGTTTAGAGTAAATGTTTTATTTTCAATTGTGTTTTTCTACTTGTTCACATTTCTTGTGCTGGTTTACCAATCCAGTCTATTTCATTTTGTTTTCAGAAATCCTTGGGAAAGTATTTTGAAGTTCTTCTCAACATATTTTTCTGTGAAGTGTACTGCCAAAATGAATTTTGTAAGCACCTAATTGATAAACTGTATTAGTACATCAATAAAGCAATGAATCTGGAAGTCCCAGTTCTTTGAGACTGCAGATCATCCTAATTTCAGGAGTGATAAGCCGAAGAGGGTTCTGGCAGAAGAGTTCACTGTCAAAGACCACTGTTTATTGGGTTTGCACACTTTTAATGTAACTACAGGTTTGGTGTTTGTAGTGCAGGTAACTCTGTCTCAGGCTAGTTATCCTGGATTGCCTTTCTAGCTGAGTAGAGAGAAGTACTCATTTTTGGGCTTGATTTAGTCAAGCTACATTAGTGTGATGTGAGTAACATGCTAGAAAGGTCTGTTCCCCTTCCTTGATGGTAAAGGAAGACTAGACTCTTACTTCAACTTCAGACTTTTACACTCTAGAGTCTTCTGTGAGTTTTGTGACAGCAGACTAGTCCTTTCTGCATAATATATTTAAATATAGAGACCTTTGGGACATCCAAAAAGATTACTTCCACATTCCTATTTTAAGTACAAGTTTATGAAATGTCCTAGACAGTTCTTACAAGTCTCCTCTGCAGCATTAAATGCATTTGTAATTGTGGTGTGTGGTTGGTCATCTATCATGTTTCTACTGTATAAGAATTAAAGATTAATATCTTCATCTAATAACTGTTGATCTCCTTTTTTACAGACAGGCCTTGGTACCACAGATTATCCCGATTATCCAGACTATTCAAACTATGATTCTCTAATCATGCAACCTTGCTCTAAGCTGGGAGTCAGGAACTTCACAAAAGCATTTCTGCCAGTTGCATATTCATTGATTTGTATCATTGGCCTCGTTGGTAACATCTTCGTAGTGATGACCTTTGCTTTATATGAAAGAACCAAGTCCATGACGGATGTGTACCTCTTCAACATGGCCATAGCAGACATACTGTTTGTTCTCACTCTTCCACTGTGGGCAGTGAATTATGCTGCTAATGAATGGATTTTTGGTGATTTAATTTGCAAAATTGCTCGAGGTATCTATGCAATCAACTTCAGCTGTGGCATGCTGCTTTTGGCCTTTATCAGCGTGGACCGGTACATTGCTATCGTACAGGCTACAAAGTCATTTAAACTCAGGGCAAGAACACTTGCATATAGTAAACTCATTTGTTTGGCTGTGTGGGTATCATCAATTTTAGTCTCTAGTTCCTCTTTTATTTACAGTGAAAGTTACACCTTCTCCATCAATGAAACCAAAGAGATTTGTGATCACAGATTTGACAAAAAGTCTGAAAGCAAAATGCTGAAATCATTGCTGTTGTGGTTACAAGTTGGATTTGGATTTTTTATACCTTTCATATTCATGTTTTTTTGCTACACCTTCATTGTCAAATCCTTGCAACAATCTCAGAATTCCAAAAGAAACAAAGCAATCCGTGTGATCATATTAATTGTAGCTGTTTTTCTAGTTTGCCAGGTACCTTATAACATTATTCTTCTTGTGACAGCTGTAAACATGGGGAAGATAGACAAATCTTGTGAAAATGACAACATATTGGCTTATGCAAAATACACCACTGAAGCCATAGCATTTTTACACTGTTGTGTGAACCCTGTGCTCTACGCATTTATTGGAGTGAAGTTCAGAAGTTATTTTGTGAAGCTAATGAAGAACCTATGGTGCAAGAGGTATAAGAAATACAATAAACGTAGTTCAAAGACAAGCTCTGATACTTATCATTCAAGACAGACTAGTGAAATTCTGACTGACACTGGATCTTCTTTTACGATATAATAGACTTTGAACAACATTATTACTGAAGGACTCTTCTCACTGAGTGAGCCAAACTAGTGTCACTGTGCATGTGACACCAAGTCATTTGAGCTTCTCTGTACTTATAAGGGAACTTCTGTGATCTACAACTCCTTTCAGGAAACCAATTAAGATAAAAGAATAACACTGTCCTGTGTAAAACTGAAATCTTACTCACTTCTCTTAATGCTCTTCTGAAGTACATTCTCTTAGAATTTTAGGGTAAGTGAAGTTTACAGAGGAAACCTCATTTTGTAAGGGAATATTGCATCTCATTGGTCCTGTAACACTGAAATGTCCCCAAAGTAATAAGTAAATGAATAAGGTTATGTCCAGGCTCATTCTTACATTTGTATCTGTTAATTACTTCTACCTGTAAATCCTATTTAAGTGTAAGTCTCCACTGCCCTTATATTGCAGACAAGTCATTTGTGACAATACTAACCCATTTTGAGCAAAGCAGGGCAAGGAAAACAAACAGAGAAATTAAGAAAGAGGCTAAAGGGTGCTGACAGAGCTGGGCTTAAGTGTTTGTTCTTGTAAATCTTTGGCCAGTTCTATACTCCACCTGCTCATCAGGACTTGCCTATATTAAGGCTGAGGTTGTTCAAAGCCAACAGTGGTACATCTTCTAAAGAGAATATTAGAAAAAAAAGAAAATTATTCTTTAAAGAGAATACCGAAATACCATCAGAAATGTGTTCTGACATCTCCTGATATATCTTCTGAACAGAGAATGGAGTTTTGCTTAAGAGTTTCTTCTCTTTGTTTGGCACAGGATTCAGGTGCTACAATCTAACAAAGCTGATAATCTGGTGAATGCCTCTTTGTGAAAAGTTGTCTCTTTCTAATGTGGCAAACTGTCTGGAACTGCAATTATTCCAACACTTTTTGTTGGAACAAAATATGATTAATTTCTTTGTATTTAGCTACTGTTAGCAAAGTTACCTTGGGAACAGATTTACTAGCTCAAATATGCATATATATGCATATGACTCACTATGAATATAGGAATATTTATGAATATAATGAATGCAATTATTTTTATCCAGACATGACTTTTCAGCAAATCCTAAGTGGATCTTAGTCGATCTTCTGCTCATTGAGTGAGCTTCACCACACTGTAGCAGTCATGGTGGGATAGTGAGGTAGATAGGAGCAGAAGGTGAACAACACGGGGTCAGGATTAGAGGACAGAAGAGGATCAAGATCCGTTGAGGAAACACATTGATATGGCACACAAAGCTAGTACTGCTTTGACTGCTGCAAGCCATCCTTCTTTCCACTGCAGTGTGAGGTTTTTAAATATCAGTGCCAGATATGATAAAGATTGCATGAATTTGTCATTACCAAAAAGCAATGTAGGCAAAAATATAATAGAAAATTATGTAATTACATATGCATGTTTTTTCTGTACATAGAAATCATGATTTTCTGGAAGAGAATTCAATAAATAAAATATGTAACTGAAAAGGGGAAAATTGCCTCAGATACAAGAGTTTCTTTCTACATGTATTGCCATGAAACATTCTCTTATTTAGTGCAAAATCTCTCATATCTGAATGGTGCGGCATCTGTCCATCTGAGATTGCCTGAGGGATTGTGCCTGAGAGTAGGAAGTCTAGGGCTGAAGGAGCTATGGCAGCTCTTGGGCAAAACCTTGCAAGGCTCAAAAGCATATTCCCCACCTCCTGCAGTCCTACTTCCATGCCTGCGTTGGCCTTTATCCACTGACCAACCCAAACACTGCTCCAATGAGGTTAAAGGGCAAGGCAGCAGCCAAGAGGCAGTTGCTGACCTGTCATTGTCCCTGTCCCAGCAGAGGAGGCTTGCTGACACGACACGGGAGAGGGCAGGGCAAGCGTGCCATAACCTTTGTGAAGTGTTTCCTGGCTGAAAGATCATCCTCCTTTAGGGGTGAGGGAGGCAGGGGAAGAGAGGAAAGCTGGGTCCCACAGACCAGGGCCTTCCCCAGAGAGAGGGGTCTCTGACCTGGCTGCCTCACAGGTCACCAGCCCCTGGTAACTGTGAGGGACCCAGGCGAATTGAAAGTGGTGGTGGAACATCTGCCTCAGGCGGGAGCAGGTACAACCTCCCGGATGCTGGATTGCGTGAGGGGGAAATGCTTGCTGGAAATTACGCTGAAAGGTAGAAAATGTACCTAGCCTCTCTCCAATATTCGAGACAGAGAAGTGCTGCTGAGGGAAGATGAATGTGGTACACATGCGACTAAAACAGCTTTTGGGGTACGAATTGTGCTAGTGTCAAGGCCTTGACAAAAGTCCTGTTTGAGGTGCAGCTGAAATCTTGATTGCTATGACTGACCACTCTGTCTCTGGGAAAGATGGGGGTAAAGGACAGTGTGGACTCCTGTGGTGGTTTAACAAGGATAACTGCCAAGTACCTACCGCTTTATCATTCCCCTCCTCAACTGGACAGGGGAGAGAAAATATAATGAAAGGCTCATGAGTTCAGATAAGTGCAGGGAGAGATCACTCACAGATTACTATCATGAAACTTGGGCAAATTAGTTGAATTTATTACCAGTCAATTTCAGAGCAGGATAATGAAAAGTAGAACAAATCTTAAAAACACCTTTTTCCCAACCCTTCCTCCTTCCCAGGCTTAACTCTGCTCCCAGTTCTTTACCACCTCCCCTGCAGCAGTGCAGGGAGACAGGGAATGAGGGTTACAGTCAGTTCATCACATGTTCTTTCTGCCACTGCTTTCTCCTCAGAGAGAGGAATTACTCTCCTGCTCCAGTGTGGAATCCCTCCCACAGGAGACAGTCCTCCATGAACTTCAACTCTAGTTCTTCCCACAGGCTGCAGTTCCTCATGACCTGCTCCAGCGTGGGTCCCTTTCTGTGAGTTGCAGTCCTTCAAGAAAAGGCTGCTCTAGTGTGGGTCTCCCACAGGGTCACAAGTCCAACCAGGAAACCTTCTCTAGCATGGGCTCTGCTCTCCCTGGGTCCTGCCAGGAGCCTGCTCCATCGCTGGCTTCCCATGGAGTCACAACCTTCTTTTGAACATCCACCTGCTCTGGTCTGGGACTCCTCCAGGGACTGCAGAGCAGAGTGGGTCTCTGCTCCACTGTGGACCTCTGTGGGGTGCAAGGGGAAAGCCTGCCTCATCATGGTCTTCATGCTGCAAGGAAATCTTGGCTCCACTGCCTGGGACATCTCCTCCCCTTCCTACTTTGCTGACCTTGGTGTCTGCAGAGTTGATTCCCTCACATATTCTCACTCCTGTTTTCTCTGTCTGCAATTACTTTTGCACAATAACTTTTTTCTTACTTAACTTTGTTATCCTTCTTAACTATGTTATCACAGAGGCTTTGCTACCATCACTGATTGGCTTGGCCCTGGCCAACAGTGGATACAATCTTGGAGGAGCCGTTTGGCATTGGCTGTGTCAAGACATGGGGGAAGCTTCTAGCAGTTTCTCAGAGTAGCCACCCTTATAACCCCCTTGGCTGCCAGAACCTTTCTCTGCAGTGGAGGAGAAGAGTCCTACTGCTCAATGTCCAGCAGCAGGTGGCCTTAGTGGCAGACTGGCCAGCAGATGTGGCTGGTGGGCCCTCAGATATTGTCATTCCTTTGGTGGCCAGGTCAGCAGAACCAACATGCGAGCTAGGGCTGATGTTGGTAGTTCAGGGCATGAAAAGAGCACGGATTTAGAGGAGCCTGGGAGCTTGGGAAGTTTGTGTTACTTTCACTGCTTGTGGAGTAATGTTGCTATTGTAAAACTGCTATGCATGCTGCATTTTATTACGATTTTCATGTTGTGGTAACTGTGCATAACAAGCACATGGTAAGATTTTCTTTTTTGTTTAGTGTATCCCATCTGGGATTTTTGGAAAGAAAAGACTTGATTTCACAGAGGTTCTCATTTCCCATCATATTTAAAGAGAGAAGGATACATACAGTGTTGCGTCATGTCTTACATACAGAGATGTGGCTGATAAGCTTTGAGAAGTTGATTCATATCTTCCTCCACATGCGGACTGGGGCTGCATTGTGGTATCGCCTGCACATACAAGGTCTGCTTGTTAGTGGGATCCATGCTACTTTTGGTGAGTCCATGGTGGCCCTGCTTTACACTTCCCATTCTAGCAGTTCAGAAGGAGGTAGGTCATCAGCACAAGCTGTTAAATAAAAGCACAGTATCTCAGTGCAGACAGTCTAAAGCTAAATCTGTTTTCTGACATATATAATCTTCACTTAAGAGTTGGACTTGATGATCCTTGTGGGTCCCTTCCAACACAGAATATTCTGTGAAACTTGCCATATGAAAATCTTAAAAATGGATCTAAATTATTATTTATCTCCCCATAAAAATGACAGCTTTCTTCCCATGGCATTTAAATTTCATGTTCTGTCTTTTCTATTTGTATATTAATTTCCTTAGAAGCACAATCCCTATAAGCTGGTGGACCTACAAGAGAGTCACAGTGGACAGACAAGATCAAAGTCATTTGGGCCTTGTGAGTAGCAAGGAAAGGCAAAGGAAAGAAAATGAAAATTATAGGCAAAGGTAGGTAACAGTTGGAGATTGTGAGTGGTGACTGAAAGAAACAGTCTAGAGAGGAACATTTTTGTTATGGAAGGTTATTAATAATGATTAAGTACATAACAGATATAACTCTGCTTTGAATCTTTGTAGGGCAATCTTGTTATTTGCAATTGTGGAAACTTTGGGGAAATTTTCTTGTGACTGAAGCAAAAAATGGTACTTGAAGCTTTAAAAATTTGGACACAATTGGGAAAATTTTAGATTAAGTGACAATGATAACAGTTTCAAAATGTCAAAACAGTTTGTTTCATGAAGCATCAAAAATGTTTTGATATTTCTGATTATTTTTCAGATACTATAATAAATGTCAAGGAAATTATTTCACAAAACCACTGAAAGTGGTTCATAATCTGCTTTTTTATGTTGCTGCCAAGTAATCAGGGTATTCCCTCCAAGCACCTCCTGTGG